TAGTTCATTAACTGTTACTGTACATATTAACTGTTGAGTGTGTTTTCCACTGTCCAATAACTTTGCAGTGCTGAGCTTTATGTGTTTTAGTTACTGGCAGTGAAAATGAGTTTATGCTGTGTACACTGTGACGAGCACATATACATTACGCTGTCTTAATAGTTGGCCTCTGAAGGCACGAACTGTAAATTAAAATTGTTTTTAGATTTCAAACTCTGCTTCGTGTGGTGTAAATCTGTGCTCTCCATTATTTCCCTCTCAGACTCTCTTTCATGCACCCCGCCTCCTCCCATCTCCACCTCAGACAGGGAGGTCCTTTCCTAAATCCTCCCACTGCTGAGAAGCTTCTGCCATGACGAGGTCATCGTAGTCTGATCTCCATCCTATCTCAATAAATCATGTTCAAGTCTTCTAAGTCAGCGGTCCCGGTTTATGTCTGACAATATTTTCAGGGACCGGACTATAAGGTGTCACGGATAAATACAACAAAATAAAACCAGTACTGGTGCCAAAAAAATAAGATTTAATCATAACACACAGGAAAAGACCCAGGGAAACAGAGTTAACGATAAAAATGATTTAAAATAAAAAGCTAAAAATTGATATAAACCCTCATCGCAGCCCAGTACCAAACGACTCACGGACTGGTACCAGTCTGTGGCCCGCTGAGCAGCCAACATCATGTAGCAGTTGATCAGTGAAGCAGTGTCCACTCACTCTGACTTCAGAGTGTGGAATAAACACAGTGGAGAGGTGTGGGGAGCTGCTTTCCACCTCTGTGGACTACAGTGGGTTAGACAGACAGATCACAAACATCAACAGATGATGTAATCTGCTGACTACAGCTGTTACAGGGTGAGGCAGGGTGCCCCCCCCACAGGCTCAGGACCAACACAGGCAGGCTCACCTACGGCCTGTTTACAATCACAGCTCAGCGAGTGTGTGTTTGGCCTGTGGAACGACAAACTACACAGAAAGGCCTCAGACAGGAAGCCTGAACACAAACCCGTCAGCACTAACCACCACACTCACAGGGCAGACGTTTCTCACTGCTGGCACAACGACACTGATATCTTCTGATAACACTGCCACCTAGTGTCGGAGCCTTTAGTTACATTGTGCAATTACAGCTCCTTTAAGGAAGCCCAGACTCCTGTTCCTGTTTACTGCTTTATATTACAGACTAACACCAACACTTAGCAAACACAAAATCTCCTGCTCTACCAATTTCCATACAGTACAAAAGTTAGACTAAAAAACTCAAGACAGAGAGGAAACAATCAGATCGGATCTTTTAAAGAGAGGATCTATACGGTTGGAGGAGCACGTGTCCTGCTCCGTGGGGGGTTTTCTGATACTCGGAAGCCTCGAGACCAGGAGCTACTACTTTTATCCACGTGATTCAGAATCTCTCTAAACTATTAGAAACAGCAAGATGGAGACTGATAAGTTTCTTAGCAGCATCTTTACTCTCTGCACAGCTCAACATAAAAAAGAGCACTTCCTGTGTGCAGCCATCGAGATACTTCACTGGCAACTCAGAAGCCAGGAAATCTTGTACTCGGATAAATGCAGGAAAACCAACCAGGTGGAATCAACACATACTTATAACTGTTTGAATGTAAATGTGTAAACATTCAGATATGTAAACATGTAAATATCAAAACATGTAACCACCAAATAACTTAACTCCTTAACCCTCATAAACACCTCTTTGTGCACCAAATGACATAAATTTACTTAAAGAGACAGAGAGATAAAGAGAGTTAAAGAGAGTGCTCTCTCTTATCTGGAGGGAGCGAGCTAAGAGAAACAATGTTTCAATATTATTGAAACATTGTTTCAAAAATATTGAAACATTGTTTCAATATTTTTGAAACAATGTTTCAATATTTTTGAAACATTGTTTCATTTATGAAAAAACAATATTTTCCATAAATGTAACAATATTTTATAACTTCTCTCTCCTGAAAGATGTTTTGCATGAGTGAAAAGCTGCTCGCACAGAATTTTCATAACAAAAGATTTTTACATACGACCGAAATGCAAGCGCGGTGTGGTGCTCAGTGTTTTCACCGTGAGCGGGAAAAATCTGGATCTTTATCTGAGAGACGTTCAACAGAGATGTGCTTCAAGACTCTG